TGGTATAATCGCGCATCACACAACAATAAACTAACAGATTCGCCATGGAGCGTGAGTTTGACCCCCTCATGCTCTACGATTAGGTAAACTTAGGAGTTTTGCTTGTTTCATCATCTAGACGTTTTTACCTTTCTCTCTTTAAATTAAACATCTTACTATGGTCAATTTTTATTATCAGAGTGGGATGTCCCATTTTCCTCCTCGATATGGAAAATTGAAAAAAAAGCAGAGAAATTGATAGTCACTTCCCTTACTGCCATTATCTTGCCAGTATAATAATATTTGTGCATAGCTACTCGGTAAGTCACCCTATACCTTACATTTAATTTTTTGCTCTTTACTAACTCCTAACATTCTCTATATTGTGGTATATTGTGAGAATACCGTTTTTCATGCTCTTTGCTTGCAGATCGTACAACTTCGATAACAACGCGCGTAGCCTCATAAGGAGACGAGGAGCCGGCTGGAGGAAGCCACGGGCAGAGAGAAACCGACAACGACGCGAGCCGGCTCATTTTGTGGCTCTTCCTAATATTTGTGCCCATTTCCTATCGCTGTCATGTGTCGCTTTATAATTGAAGTATTGTCGAGTTAAGAGATAAATCGTATGAAGTTTCTTCTGTGGTTGCATCCGATGCTTTGTGAGTTATGAGATATATGTCCATCGGGAAGGGACGATAGGACATCTATTACTCCAGTGTACTTATCTCGTAAATTGTGTTCAAAGTCAAAATGCTTGTTCTTGGTATTATTTATTCCTAATTTTCCATTTAAAGATGTAGCTCAAGTTGATTGCATTATGAGATGTTCAAACTGGAAGTACAGACTGTTTAAGTTCATAGGTCTTCTCCTAGGGCCTGAGGTTGTACAACCGAACGAGAATTCGCGCCACCCTTGCAATAGCGGAATGTTGGTATTCTGCCAAGTTTCAATCAGGAAATTGCCAGAAGAAGCAAGAAAATATGGTGAGAGGGGTAAAAAGAACTACCGTTACTTGTCCCCGTCCTCGCGGACAATTGATCCATCTCAAAAGGATGGATGTAACTACTGGAAAATAGAGCACCACTATTGGGATGAATTTCAGTATAAACAAAGAAGAAATCGGCATTTTTCTATATGCAGATGG